CAAGTCTACACTCTCGGCAGATCTTTCTAACTCCAGTCTGACTTCTGGTTTGAGTCCTTTACGATAGTGACTCATGATGGCGGTTTCGTCCCACTTGGTTGTTCCCGCATATCTTCGGAATTCCGTAGCATACTTCAATGCTGATCCTGTCTGCTTGAGGTTGAAGATCTTATCTTCCGCTACCTCTAGCTCATTGGAGTTCCCGAAGATTCTACGTATCTCTGTCTTAAACCCTTCAAAACTGTTGAAGATTGTTCGAGTGGGTTGCATGCGATCCTGATCGTCATGCTCGAAATAGTCGCGCAAGTATGGCTGAATCCATTTGCCTGCCTCACCTCTGAGGTATGACACGGCCCAAATACTCTTAGATTCCCTTTCGGTGAACTTGTCTTGGTTGAATCTAAAATAGATTTCAAGTTGCAATAGGAAGGTGTCGAGTTCCTGTCGACTTCCTTGGTACTTGTCTGGTAAGGCAATCTTGAGTGTTTCGTTGATGGTGATCTCCTTGGGAGCATCAGTCATTTCGACATCATCGAAGTTGCTTGCTGGGGCCTGTTGGCTTTTGGAAGAACTGTTGGCTGCCATACTGGCGGTTGGTATTGAATCGGTACTTGAAGCAGAAAGGGTGCTCAAAGTGTTACGGGAGCTGCCTCTAGGGTCACGTGGAAGTGGCTAGAGATCTCTCGAGGTGGTTTAGACTAGACTTCAAGTAGGAATTCAATAAGGTTGTAACTGGTTGCAATTCTCGTAACTATAGTAATGAAACTAATGATTGTTCTTGAGCACGAAGCTCTACATTGTAATGAAACCCATTCCCTTATATAGACCTTCGTTCTCTGTGCTCAGTCGGATCACAAATGATCCCTCTGATCCGATCAACTGGATCACTAATGATCCCTCTGATCCGGTTACCTAAGCGTCGGGGTCACATGACGTCTATTGTGGCAGACCATCGTAACACGTAACAGTTTATATATTTTTTAGAATAACTATAACGTGGTTTATTAGTAAATAGATTACATTAATGAATGAGTTATTTGAAAATACATTAAAATTAAGCCTTTTTCAATATTCTTATTTTAATAACTAATTATTATTTTGAAAAAAGAAAAGAATTTTTAATAACAATAAAAAATTAACTTTTTATAAATCTAGTTTTTTTTATAAATATTTCTATTATATTCTAAAAAAAGTAGAAATTGTTACGATTTTCATTATAAAAAAGTTATTTTTATAATAACTATTATAATAATTTGATTTTTTAATAAATAATTATTTTTTATAATATTTATATAATTAAATTTCAATATTTTCAGATTTCTTTAAATTATATTATTATATAAAGAAAGTGTATGGTTATATATAGACAAATTTTGTATATAAAATAAGGTGATCTATTTATTGATATGATCTATTCACTAATAAACTATGTTAATAGAAATATTTATAGAAAAACTAGATTTCTAAAAAAGATTAGATTTTTAGTATTATTTAAGGCTCTGTTTTATATAAATAAATAAAATTAGTTATTAAAATATAAATATTTAAAAAGGCTTAATTTAGATGGTTTTCGAAATGACCTATATACTGATATGACCCGCACGCTGATAAACCACGTTATATTAAAACAAAAGATTTGCAGAGGTAGTTATCCAATTGAAGACCAACACTTGTCGAAACATGGAACTATATACTAGATATTAGGCCCTACAATGATCCATACCACCATGATCAATCTCCGAATCCATTTTTCTGGCAATCTATCTCACCTCGACTCATCCCACTTCAAGAAGGCTAATTCATGACATTGCTCCGGCTGAGATCAGATTCGATTCGATTAGAATACTAGCAAGAAGATCCCTTTTCTCTGTCAAAAATATTCCGTCTCCACAGCAAAATATTAAAGACAAACCAAGAAAACCATTGCAAACCCAGCCTGAAATCCTGAAACCCCAGAACTCCAACTTCCGAAGCGTCGTTCAACCACCATCACGTGATAAATAAACCTCAAGCTTCTTGGATATATACACGAAGATCAGATATGCAACAAAACAAAATTCAAGCATGGGACGAGGCGGATGCAAAAGATATGATTGGACCAAGGCATGTGACTTAGCCGAGGAGAGAGAATCCAGCCAATCATAGTAATCTGTTCAATACACGATCTCGATGTTCCAGCACTCTCGCAAATCGCGGTGGACGACGATTATCAAGGTTGTATAAGGAGGTGCTAGCCAGTAGCATTTCTCTAGTACTGGTCGGAGAGTGAAAGGTTTAGCAGAAGCTCTCTTTGAAAGTCGTGCGAAATGGGGAATCATGATCTTTGCCTCGACCGATGGCATGGTAGGAGAGGACCTACTCGAATTAGCTAGACTTGTCATAAACAATTTACACAGAAGTGCGGAGGTGAGTACTATGAAAGATCGTAGAGCGACGACACATTGCGAGATTAAGACTTCTGTAGGATCAGTTATCAAGGTGAACAGCTGCGTTGCAAAAGCCGACGCCTGCTTTCGCGACAACATAACATCACAGTATCTTGACCGTGGGCCTGACAAAAATGGTATCTTATTCAATACAGTGCTAATTAATTACTTCTTCGACTTCGCCTTGAAAGTTTTCAAAGGGTCTGATTTCCTTCCCTTTCCTCTTCCCTTCGCCTTGTGAGCCGCCCTAGCTTTTCTAATTCTGTTTTCTGTCGTCTTGTGCATTGCTACAAATCCAATGTCTCCACCGGTAATTCCTTTCTTGCCTTCTTTTGGGAGGAGATAATCCGGCACATGCTTCAAATGTGCTTGCACTCTGGCAGGTCGTAATTCCCCATCGTGACGAAGATGGTACAAATCGCTCGGGTTTTCTTCAAAATGACGTTTGAGCTTGTCACTCTTCATCAATTCTTGTCTAATTTCTCGAGTTTTTGCTTCCTGAACCGCAATACTCGTAACAGCTCGTAGAGCATCACCCATTCTGTATCGGAAAGCATCCACTTGCTTCATATCAAAATTATATGGTTTAACTTCCTTGCCCTTCTTTGCTTGATGCTTGACAATTTTTGCCAAAACTTTCTCGTCATTTTTCGCGGATTCAATGCTAGTTGGTTTGTGTTTTCGATATTGTTCAGATGGAATAACGAATGATAGTGCCATTCCTGTCTGACCTGCTCGAGCGGTTCGACCAATTCTATGGGTGTATGATTTGGATGATGTTGGAAGATCGAAATTAAGAACGCAAGCAACATTCTTGAAGTCAATGCCTCGCGATACTCCGTATTCTTTATCCCTCTTTCCAGTCTTTTGCTTCTTCTTCGAGGGTTGCTTGATTTCCTTCTTTGCATCCTTTGCGTCTTCTTTCTCTTCACCGGCATCATCCGCGTCAGCTTCTTCCGCATCCTCAGATTTGGGTTCGTCCTCATCCCCCAAGACTTCGTGCTCATCTGAAGCAATGATGATGTCATAAACGTTCTTGTTGAATTCTTCGACGACATGGATACGTGAGTTGACAGGTAATTGTGAGTTGAGAATACAACTTCTTGTTCCGAATTGCTCCAAAAATAACTTCAATCGGTAGCATCTATCGATATCACCAACAAATATGATACATTTTCCTTTGATAAGTTTCAATTTGAATATGACATATGTTAGGAGGAACTTTTCGTCTTCGGCGCACCTGTTACTTGTTAGCATTGATCGTGCAAAGAATTCGTGGAAAATTTACTTCACAACGAATTGGCTAACGCCTTCTCCCTCATCCTCTACTTCCTCCAATTGCAATACCTCAGGGTTCCTACAGAATAGTCCTTTCAAAGTTTCAACCTCACTCGTCAATGTAGCGCTCATTAAAACAGTTTGAACACCCTTGGGCATGATTTTCGCAACATTTTGCAAATCCTCATCATAACCGTAAGATAAAACCAAATCAGCTTCATCAATTACCATGTGTGTAAGATTTGCGAGAGAAAGTGCAGAGGTATTGGCATTCAGAGCAGCTCTCGCAGGTGTCGCAATTACGATATCTGGGGAGTCTGCAAGAAGTGATCGTTGGACTGCATCGGAAACTCGCTGGGTGAGGTTGACTGCTCGAATGTCTTTCGCGCAGAATGCTGTAAAAGATTCAACCGTTTTGTAGACTTGATCTGCAAGTTCTCGAGTAGGTACCAGAATGAGGGCGGTTATGCATTGGGTGGGTGAAAGCTAGAACGGTCAGTCTATGTGATTACTTCGTAACACGATTGAAAACCATACCTCCTTCCTCTTTAATATCGAATGAAGTATTGGTAGTAAGTAAGCAGCAGTTTTTCCAGATCCAGTCTTTGCTCTAGCTAAGATATCGCGGCCTTCCAATGTGAGCGGAATTGCTTTGCTTTGTACGAGGGTTGGTGATTGAAAGTTTTGCTTTGCGATTCCTTGGAGTAAACGCGCATCCAGTCCTAAACTAGCGAAAGTGACATTCTCTTTTGTGTTATCGGATTCTTCTGTTGGTACAGGAACATCATTGGCATCGAGTTTACGCTTCATGGTTGGTTTTGTGATTATAGAAATGATATGATGGAAAAAGTTGTTTCTTAAAGTTCAATTTGCTTGAACATGAAATTATTTTTGCAACTTATCAGAAACGGAGCATTCGATAAGGATATTATGTAAGCAACGCCTAATAACATATCATATCGATCATCAAACCTTCAAGAAGGCAAGACCATGGTGCGCACCTGAATGATCATCTTTGTACATTCAAAGTGTGCCCTGTCCTCAGACTTATTGAAGCTATTCCGAGATCGAGATTTATGATGAGTTCATCACAGGGTCTTTTGGCTATTCTAGGTAGTTAAATCAACGCTGTGCATTTAAGGTAAAATCTATCTCAAGCTCTCTAGTTTGGGAAGCTATCCACAAGTGTAGTCTTTGAAAATTGATTGGTAGTAGTACTATCATCATCAATTCACAAAAAACCCCAAGTTCATGTTCTCCATCAAGCTGTTCATGTTCATGCTCATCAGATATCCCTCAGTTTCCCAAAGTCCAGCCCCTCCTAGCCAACTCCTCATCCTTTGGCAACGTAACCCATCCAGCAACAACCCACGTCCAATCCCAATTGATCCATAAAGCAACCCTCTCACACCATAGCTTTTGCGCCTTACCAATATTCGTGCCGTCATTCCAGCTCACCCTTCCCATGATTGCCACCACCTTATCTACATTATTGATTTTTCCTAACCAATATACATCTGCTCTCTCTACCTGTCTTACTCCTTTCTCCGCCGCAATATTTGTTTTTCTATATGGTTTTCCCTCAACTCTACCGGCAGTACCAGGTGCACATCCGATGTAGATTGTAGTAGATGCGTCGACTGGACCATTGCCCCATCTTGGACGGTAACCAAGTAAAGAGTTGAGGAATCAGCAGTTGCACCACATGAAAATCTCAGGAAAAGGTCTCGAAGGAAAGAATTTGACTCACGAGCGTAGGATGATGGGCTACGAGAACTTGTGGTTGGAGAATAGAAACGGATGTAATAGAGTTGGTAAGGTGAGGATGCGGATTCGATAGACGAAGCGACATTGAAATCTTGAAGACCAGTCTTAGTTGGCTGTGGGGCTGTGTTTGACATGACGAAGGTTGTAGACTCTTGCAGATGCTTTGCTAGGTACAAGGGATTTTTGGTGACTTCTCCAAGTTCTCAGAGAACTTCCTAGAATGAACTCTCTTCCAAGTCAGTCTTTCTACAATAGATTTTCGGGGATCTGTAACTTACTAAAAGGTTTCTATCGACCTAATCTCGAGCTTGAGCCTTTGTGTTGTAAGTGCCTAAGAGAGGTTTCAAGGAAGAAAAGAAAGCTTCCGGAGAATCAATATATTAGCCAGCTTTCCAGAATGGCGCCATGATAAATCAATTTCTGAGATCGAGCCACTAGACCTCCCCATCTTGAGCCGAAGTACTTGTCTCATCTACGATAAAGACAGCCTCTTCCAGGTGGGATGATGTATGTCCAACGCCTGATCCCACAGTAAAACTAAATCTTCTTAGCTTAATCCGTATTCTCGAAGTTTTACGAAAATCTCCCACGCTCCCCCAGTAGAGAATGTAATTAATACGCAATTCGTGAACGGTCTCTCATAGAGTGACCAATCATTGCCCCAAAAACGAAAATATCCCGATATTATCAAGTCGAAACGGTGACATGCACATATGAGTCTTGTCTGAACATAATTCTCCATTCAACTTCCAAGAAATCAAGTAGTCAAGAAAGGATAGTAATTTCGCAGACACAAATATGCTCGCGAGTTTGATCCACAAGGTCCCAGTTCTGATTACTTACGGATCTATCTTCTTATATGGACATGAATCATTTGCTCGATTTCAAAGTCTAGATCAAGATAGTGAGATTATTATTCGCAGGGTATTCAACAGTCCGAAATATAGTCCAATGATATAAGGATTTGAATATCTAAAAGCAATTAGAAACCTGAAAATCATTCAATCTTTTTAATACAATTTAATAATCTCAAATGATTTAAATGTTTCGATTAATTTAAAGATTTTATAATCTTCATTTCTAGATTATAGTTCGAATTATTGAATACTCTAGATATAAATCATCTGCTCCATTTCAAGGTCCATCAGTAGTCTAGATCAAAATAGTAAGATCGCTGTTCGTAAGAGGTTTCTTCGTGAATCGGATAGATGGTCTAAAGTATTTGATTTAATGAAACGATCACAACGTTGACCACCTTCCAGAAGAATCCTCAGATGTAACTCGGAAACTCAATAAATAGTTGTATAATCAACTGTATTTTTCTTGGGTTTCAGCATACTGACGACTAGGAATTCCAACATTATGATCAACACAAGTTCTACTGAGGGACATAGAACACAACAGGCGTTGATACAGAATATGCATAGCATGCAGCCGTACATTTGACCTACATTCTAGCTGCAACGAGCATGAAACACTTCAATTCGACATGAAGTTTCAAATGGCCATGCGCAGACACAAAAAGATACTTTCTTATCTTCCCTCATGTCATCTTGTCATCCAAATCCATATTTTTGATCTCTCAAAAAAATCCTCAAAATCCCATGATACACACAAACCCTGTCCGAATCAAATAATAATCTTCCTATTCAAGAAGCCATTCATAATGACACGATGGGATGCTCGAGGAACATTCTCCATCGACCCTAAAGCCACACCTTCATTCACTTGCGTGGGCATAGCTACATCCATGAATCGCAAATGTCAGAATCCTATTGGTAAACCAAGACGCATCACAGCAGTTGAAATACTGGATGAGGTTTCAGCACTACCTATTTCCGGACAAGACTATAATGAAAGAGGGCTAAAAGCAAAAATGAAAGAGCTCCTTGGTGAAGTACTTTGTGGGAAACACAGAGATGGAGGAGGATACTCTCAGGCCGAAAAATTAGGAAAAGAGTGGTGGGGCAAAGTGCAAATGGCGCAAGCAGCGATGCGAAATGATGGAGGGCGACGGCCGGCGCAGATGATACAGCGGAGGAGGGAACATAGGCCTGTTGCGGACGCAGAGCCAATTGCTGCTGAACGGGCTCTCCAGCGTCTCGAATTCAATCCAATAATAATGGCGGCTCAAATCCAGGTTCTGGAGAACCGTCTTGCGCGCGATGAGGCAGAGAGAGCGGAATTGATGACGCGGATAGAGGAAAGGTGGAGACTATATGAGAGGATACAAGAAGAACAGAGGCGAGCAAGAGAGAGGCGAGAGGAAGCAATGCTGCGAAGAGAAGAGGAGGAGAGACGACGAGAAGCCGAGAGAATTCAAAGGGAGAGACAGCGGGAAGCGAATAGGATACGCGATGAAAGAGAAGAAATGGTGAGGATGGATAGAGAATTTGCATTAAGACTGCAAAGAGAAGAGGAGGAAGAAGCCGAACTGAGAAGAGAAGAAGAAGCAGAAGCAGAAGCAGAAGCACAACAACAACGAGCAGCACGAAGGGCAGCACGGAGGGTCGAGAATAGGCGACAAGTGCAAGTGCTAGATCTTATTGTGTTGCCGCAACTATTCCAGCCTCATCCTGTTCAACGCGAAGTTCAACGAAAACCCCTTGGCGATTGTTATTCCTGCCTCGAACCCATCCGCAGACATAAAGACGCGGATTGGTGTCGAGCGCAATGCGGGCAAAATATCTGTAACAGATGTCTCCAGGAGTGGATGAAAAATCAGGTGGGGAGAGAACTTACATGTGGTGTTTGGTTTGCTGTTCCTTTCTTTTCTTCCTCGACTTTGGTGAGATGAGTTACTGATTTTTGTATATGACAGTCGAGCAGTTTGGAAATTCGAGGGCGCATGAGAAGCTAGCGATGCGATGGTTGGTCATTCAATTTCTAGTTGGCGTTGAAGAGGGTCTTGGAATCTGATACAGGAGTGTGTGTATTATTGAGAAAGGAGGGTTGATCTGATAGAGATATTGTATGAAAATGAATAAATTTAGCCTTCACTCCTGAATTTTTGGTTTCGAGCATGATTCTCCGGCGCACTTCTCATCTTGTGGCGTACTAAATATTCAAGAATTCAGTATTCTGCCATAGGGTGTTTCCGTGGTTCTGAAGCTCTGACTCCTGCGAGAGAAGCAACGAAGTCGAGCACCAATGGCCAATCTCAGCATTATTTCTCTTACTTGACAGTCTCCCATGACATGAATAAACAATGCTGGCTATCCATTGGATGAAAAGCATTCACAGAATGGCATTCTGTTGGAAGTTGATACGGGAGGATTTGAAGTTACTTGGCAGGGGGTGAATAGAGAGGGTTGCCAGGAGGGCTCCCAAGCATTGGCAAACAGCCTTGTGGAAATGAAATTGATAAACTTTTGAAAGTTTTGAGATGGGGCAGATAGAGGATTCCGGTAAAAGTGAGGGGCGACTGTCTTGACGCGAATTGAATGTAGGAATGTAGGAATGGTCTTTGAAGTCGTTGTAAGAGTAAAAGTGTTGAAATCAAATCAGGGAGGCACAGATGGCTTGGCGTGATGAGGCACTTTCTTTTTCGAACTTCGTATTCTTGACTTTCAAGCATAACTCAACTTGTTCTGCAAAGAATACGGCAATCTTTTGCCGATAGTAACAATACGATAGAATGCTAGATCCATCTTTACGGCGGCATAATTATGGTACGTCGAGCCACACGAGCTTCGATATTCACACCAACTCAGCCCAAAATGTATCTCTCGAGTCATCAAAGACCAATATGAGAACAGACAATTTGACATATGAGAGATTCCCAGCATTTAGCTGGTAGATATCCCTTCGCCACAACCGTATTCGAGATACTAAATTGATCAAGCACGAAATGTTTCCACTTCCCACCACTCGGACAATACCCCCGGCTTCATGATCAGCTGAATTCTCCGATTGTAAAGACGATCTAGGTCTTGCCACCGGACGAACAGAGAAGAAATGCATGAATAAAATTCCTTGAACGAATCTACTTGAGACATCTAGGAATAACCTCGAACTGAGTACTTGTGGCTGTGCGATCAGATTGTTATGCGACAGACGAGGCACGTGCAGTGGGGAAGCTGGACGTTATTTGTTTCAACCTACGAATTAGGAAGGATGTAAATGTTGTGCGATAGCCCATGAAGGCGACCTAGTTTTCCGGCTCGAAAGCGTGAAAAGGGTCAAAGAAACCCGAAAGAGTGAGAATGGCCCCCACGGTGGGGGAAGTAACCATTCATTAAGCGCGCTTATCTTGAGAACCAATCAATAATTTCTATATATAACCACATGTTGTAGGAGTTGGTGTAGATTGGGGTCAGTTACGGCATTTCATAATCACAATGACGATTTAGGCCGCCTATGGGACTCCTCAACATGTACCGGCCATGCGTAAAATCTCCGAAATGTTATTCTTCAACAGTCGAGACGTGCGCGTGTCTCATGATAAACTTAACCGCGAGAGGTAAGGTTAATAGAACATCCATTCAACAAGGATTGATTGACATGATCGACAAACTCCGAAGTAATTCTTCGGATGAAGCGAGCATCTAAGTCGAACGAACGAGAAACATTTGGAGATGTTCAACGAATAGATTCACGATACGATTAAAAGGTGCAATACTGGTATGTAAATTATTCTTGGCGCCCAAAGATCAGGCGGCCATGGGTCAAAGGATTCAAGAAGACGATCTACGGAGTCAAAAGTTCTTTTGCGTTGTTTGATGGTGGGTATTATGGACTCTCACGAGTCGTCGTATTCGACCGTGGCGGCAACCTGTCCAGTTGCAAGGAGAATTCATCATAAACTAATTTGATTGGCTAGCCTCTGCCAAAATGGCTATTCCCAGCTCCCGCGTGGAGGACTATTTGTGATAAAAGGGGGACTTTCACATCTTAGCGTATATGCAAGACGATTGGGTTATTTCATATAAAAGGAAAGTCATGAAAATCCAGGGGTTCGGGCTGCAGGAACAGAAACAAAAAGATTTTGTTAGACTACATAGCTGCATCATCACGTAATTGGCTTGTGGACTGCTGGCTACCTCTACCAAGGTCGGCGTATTGCATACGCGCAACGGCAATGTGCAATTCAGATCGGTTTGTTTGGTTCTGATTCCAAACGAAACCCCCTCAAGCCCAACGGATGATGTTTAATCCATAGGTTCAACGTGATAGAATGCAAGGAAAAACAAATCATCCATTGTGAATCCATGATTCAAAACATTGACTGGTGTCTCTCTCTTCCTTCTGATCTTCGTATCAATTCGAACAATACGGAAAACCTGACTCTTCCATACATTTTCTTTACTCCTTGAGCACTGTGGATATTACTCAGGGGCCAATAATTCCAAAGATTGGTCCTTCCAGTGGCACAGCATGCACAGCATGAGGTTTCGCCATTAACCGAAGCAAGGTGCAAGAGCCTATCAAATGGCATTTTCCCCTGCAGATTCTCAATCATTCAATGTCTGTGCTAACCACACAAACCACATCCCATCTATCTTGATTCAAAATCATCCACATTCATCCTAAAATGTACGGAATAGTACCAATGCTTCAGATGTATTTCTTCTTCCATCACATAGCCACTTCAACTGGTTATGTATTATGTCTAGTTACCCTTTCTCTAGCCTTGCGAGAATGGGTCATCTAAATGTAGTGGAATTTAGATCCTTGAGACCCTGGAAATTCCCACAAGGGACGTTTGTCGACCCGGTAGAGACAGAAGATATGCGGGCGACCATGACCAATTAAGCCATGGTTTCCAATCTTCCTTGCTGCAGTTTTTTGTAATTCACTCTGCTCTTGGGTCGAAAAGGAAGTCCTTCTCACCCATGTCCCATTTGGAGATGTCTTGATCGACTCTCAGACTGAGAGATATAAGATGGTCAGGCCCGTCCCACCTTGAATTATCTCGGCATCCTTCTCTCAATTCCAACTCTCCTTCGAGCACTTGCTTCTTCCTTCAAAGGATATTTACCTTCTTGTTTGTAAAATTCGTCTTCCATCTTTTTCAGCATTGCCATTTCTCAATTGTCTGTGACAAGAGAAAATTTCCAATACTACTACATTCCTTGAGTCACTTTCAGCGAAAGAACGAATTCCATTCCTTTACCGACACATTCAGAAGAATATCGAATTCTTTGACCTCGAAACAATAAACTATCTGAAGGTACGTGAAACGATTCTTGAATCTTTTCTTTGTCTTTGAACTGTTGCATTGTGGAATCCTCTTGCAATTTCGAAAAGTCCTTTGTCATTTTATTTTCCCGTCTTTCGTTTCGTCGTCATCGTCGGATGAGATAATGGGATTCGGTTACACACGATTTTTAATTATTATTCTCTATTGAAGTGTCATTTGAGAGAGTGAATAATCTGAATAGTCTCTTCGGTTACTATTCCTTTCGCTTCATAACAATCAACAATTGTTTAATTGTTGTTGTGATTCTATTTTCTATTGTAAATTTCGAGAACAGCCAGCCTCCTCGAATAATATAAATTTGGCATTCCGACTGACCTCGATCTTTTTTTCATCATTCCAGATTATAACCACATCCATTCTCTACAAGTACAACACCATCTTTCGACTTTAACAACGATCTTTCAACTGCACAAATAGAGCAAATCTATACAACAACAAACTACAAAGATTTTTCCGTCAGGCACGATTAAAATCTTCGACCACTCATTCAATATGTTTTCCAAAGCATCCATCGTAGCATTGGCTCTCGTAGCTGTCAGCAATGCTCACATGATCATGACCAGCCCAGTTCCATATGGAGTCGACACTCTCAACAACTCACCTTTGGAAGCAAGCGGAGCCGACTTTCCATGCAAGCAAAGAGATGGAGTTTACGCAGTCACCACTCAAAACACCATGGAACTCGGTGGATCTTATGATCTCGCATTCAAGGGTAGTGCCGTACACGGAGGTGGATCTTGCCAAGTATCTATCACCTATGATGAAACTCCTTCTGCCTCTAGCACATTCAAAGTCATTCACTCCATCGTCGGTGGTTGCCCAATGAAAAACATTGCCGGAAACAACGGAGACAACAAAGATGCCGTCGATCCAGATACCTACAATTTCACCATTCCCTCAACTCTTCCAGCTGGTAAAGCAACTCTCGCATGGACTTGGTTCAACAAGGTCGGAAACCGTGAAATGTACATGAACTGTGCACCCGTTACACTCACCGGCGGCTCCAGCAAGCGCAGCGACCTCATCGCACGCGACCAAGCTGCTTTCAGTGCTCTCCCAGACATGTTCACCGCCAACATCGGCAATGGTTGTTCAACAGCTGATTCTAAAGATGTGGCTTTCCCCAACCCAGGTGATTCCGTTGAGTATGATGGAGGTTCCACTGCAAGTGCTACCGCTGCACCAACTGGATCTTGCGCTACTGCTGCTGCTGGTGCTGCTGGTGCCGCTGGTGCCGCTTCTGCAAAACCCACTGGAACTGGTGCCGCTGGTGCCGCTTCTGCAAAGCCCACTGGAACTGGAGCCACTACCACTCTGGCTTCATACAGTACAGCTCCCGCCGCGACCGCAAGTTCTCTTCCAGGAGGTGTTTTTGTCTCAATTGCTACTGGTACTGGCGCCGCTACCTCCGCCGCGACCTTATCATCAACTTCAGCCGTCAGTGTTCCAACAACCCCAACTTCTGTTACTTCTGCCTTAGCACCAGCAGGAACCGGCGCTTCATCAACTTCCTCTTCAGGAGCTCTCACTGGCGCCTGTACAAGCGAAGGAATGTTTAACTGCGTTTCAGGGACCTCTTATCAACAATGCGGTAGTGGTACCTGGAGCGTCGTCATGCAAATGGCTGCCGGAACCACCTGCATCAGTGGCCAAACCATGAACTTGGCCGTTGCCAAGAGAAACGGAATGGGATTGATGCGCCACGTTGCTCGACGAGGACTGGGTGCTGAGATGTTCAACTAAATAAGCTTGCTGATTTTCCATATTCACTCTCAGATCCTGGTTGGCTCGATGACGATAACGAGAGATTTTGAGCTCGCAGGACGTTCTTGAATCGAGGATTCGATCGGGATGGAAGAGATCTCTTTCACGGATTCCGATCATGGCATAATGCATTTACACAGAGCACACAGCACAGCGCGCATTGCATTCCCATCTTGTTTACTTACTGGATGGGTTGGACACTTTTACAATTTGTACATATTATTCTACTACTTTCTTTCTTTCTTTCTATTTTCTTGTGATACTACACCTTCGTTGGCTTGAAAGGCGCTTGTGATGATGACTTATGACTGGAGAATGGGATTGGTGCATGGATGGATGGAGGGACGCGGGGGGTTATCACCAGGTGTGTAAAAGAGACAGGCGGCAAGGGCGGGTATGCATAGATAGAGATTTATTCACTGCAATGGATTTATATCACACATTTCATTTGAGTTTGCTGTGATTACGAATGTAAATGTAAAAGTGATTGTCAATGTAATTGTGAATACAGATGAATGTGAATCAAATTCAATCAATGAGTAAAAGTGATCTCTTGATAATTCCCTGGTTAGTAATCATAGTGATCAAATCACATCTTGAAGCTCGCCACTTCGTCCTATTCCAACTATCGCTATCAGAATACATTTGCATGGTCTAGCTGTGTCTTTATATTATCAAGCTGGACTTATCATAAAACTCGATCTATATTCAAACGGTACATCCCCAATCTAGATGTGAGATTGTCTTCAATTCTCAGGACGACAAGGTCAATCAGTCCACAGGGCATTGTTTATGACATCTTTCTATGAACTGCCTTATCTTCTCATAACTGGCCGTCGCCGTTGATACCTCTCCACTCAAACGATCAGTGGGTAGATGATACAACACACACACACTTGAATGAATAGATATAACCATAACTAGAATAACCAATAGTTCAAAATATAATCTAGAAATGAAGATTATAAAATCTCCAAATCAATTAAAACATGCAAATCAATTGAAATTATTGAATTGTATTGAAAGATTGAAAGATTGAAAGATTTCTAATTGCTTTTGGATATTCAAACCCTTATATTATTGGACTGCAGTCCGAACTATTGGATACCCTGAGGTCCACAGCCTGGAACAGTGTATAGTTAGTTCAACACGTCCAGCCAAACAGACTTCTTTCCAAATTCAAAATATATAAAATTTGATCATCCATGTGTATTTAGAGATCCCCTCACTATTCATGTCATTTAATGTTTCCATAGGTCCTGCGAAGACATTAGTAGTCAAGTACCCTCTATAGAATAGACGTATGGATAATAGTCGAATGTTTCGATGAGCAGATACTTAGAAAAAAGAAAAATCTACGAAGAGGAACTTTCGTCATGCTGGAGCCCAGAGCTTCATATCTTCTTCTTGCTTTGGCCCTTTTACTTTGCAGTAATTTGGGTGTATCTTGGGAGAATGTATTGTAGACTTGGAGACTTGGAGGGTTGAAGCTCGTGGAAAATCCAATGTTATATGCTTCTGCACATATAACCAAAGCATAAGCAGACCCAAAGTTGAACCACTAAGACACGATACCTCTCTCAAGCTTAACCTCATCCCCTATCACTTTTTTCCCTTCTTTCCATCTCCCTTCTCAACCACAAATCCACCCTTCACAAAAGTATCTCTTGCCACTGCATTGATAACAGCAAACCTCCTCGCTCCTAACTTCTGTCCTCCGTACCACCTTGTAACGACCACCATCACATTCCATAGATCCATCAGCTGCATTAGATGCAGGACTCTTCCTCCTGCCGCAGATTCTCCATCGTCGTCGCAATCTTGGTATATTATGCCTTCCGGTGTTTTTATGCGCCATGCTGTGATATTGTGGGTTGCAGAACGGACCTTTTTGTCCGAAGCAAGGAGATGTTGTATGTATTGAGTTGCAACAGCGGGAGAAGAAACGGAGATGCAGCGTGCAATGAATGTAGATTTCAATTCGGTGGTGACTGAAGAAAGTATCCAATTGGGAGGTTCGATATCTAGATTCATATCCCCATTCGAAGTATCTCGTTTGCGTTCAACGGCTGTACCTTCCTCATAATCTGCGAACTCTTCTCCCTCCTCATCCCCTCCATCGCCCTCCTCATCCCCAGCGCCAAACCTCTCTTCGATCTCCTCAATGACATCAAATAAACAAACCTCTCCCACCTTCCAAGTTCTCCCCACGACATTCCTCACAAAATCTACCAGCTTTCCTGCATCACCCTTCTTTGCATTCTCTCCAGAGCTCTGTGCTCCCAATATTATAGGCGGAACATCTGGGTATGCTGCTGGGAATTGTATTCGGAGCGAAGTGGGTTGATTTGGGAGAGCGAGAATATAAATCTCATCTGGAATTTCGTGCGCGGAAGTAAGAGTCGAAGAATCGTAGATGGAGTTTATGGCCTCAATTTCGTTTAGGAGATCTTCGCTCATTGTGGGTGTTGGGTGCTGAGACTGGTAATATGGAGGGCTTGACCTTGATGAACGAATGATTAACCGATGTTCTGCCGATATCTAATCATCAGGATAAATCCAGTGATCCTTCTCATCATCCCCCTCTCAACATCTCCTTCACTTTGCTTCTCTGCCATCTGCACTATCCTCCATAGTTCTGGACATAACACTCAATACTATATCGTCTTCACAACCGGAGAAGAACGATAATGCATGGCTGAGTAAATACAGAACGTGGATTTTGATCACAACAGCAGCGCACATGAACTGCTGCAGTACAACATAATACAACAACGGTTTTTGTTGAATCATGAGATGCGAGCAAACAGAAAAACTGCATAATTTCTACACGTAGGAAATGAGTTCTAGTTTCTTGATCCAGTCGTTGTTCGATCTGGCTGGTATGATCGGCATGCATCCTTGAAAAGGTTTCAGAGACAAGTCAGGAAATAGAGACAAACATCGAGAAAAGTATATCAGATGGACAAGATGTCCACTTCAACCCGAAGGTCCAATCTATCGGTGTTGGCTCTTATCAAGAATGATAATGCGGAATACCCGGGAGATGATGGCGGGGGACCTGCATAAGGAGCGCGGGGACGTTTTTACCGTGTCGAAGATATATTGAACGAAGCATTTCATTCGCTGTTGCGCCTAGCACTGTAACCACACAATCCGGATTCCCCTGCATGCCACATACACTACTTCTATCTGCTAAATTAAAGCATGTATTTCATTTCCATTCTTGCAGTTATTGCAACTCACTTGTCAACCAGGAAAGCTCCTGTAACGTATGATTAGGGTTTATGGGCTTCCTTAATGGGAACTGATATGCGAACTTTATGGGAAAGAACAACTGCACGTGCAGTATTGATTGGGTGCCCTTATTTTTGAGCACATTACAAGGCGGTCGAGGAGATCTTATATAGTCCTGGCTCTATCTAATCTGGTTTCCTCAAGGTAGCGGTCTCTGTGTTACTTGCTTTCATTTACTGCCAGTCATGGCTTTCTTCAATGGTCTGTACTTGGCCGTGCTCTCCACGATTTATTGCCTGGTCGCGGGTCAGAATGGTACCACTAACTCATCGACGTATGATGTACTCGATTATGTTGATCAATTGATTGGAAGTAGTAATGGAGGTTCGATATCTTGAACGCCATCCTCTCTCATTCCTGCTGACAGCATCTTGAAAGGAAATGTGTTTCCCGGTGCGACAGTTCCTTTTGGTAAGTGGTTAATGAGACTGACCGTGGGGTCTGTCAACCTCTGATGGAACCGCAATGTGATATTGATCGGACAAATAGCCATTACCTCATTATATAGATCAATCTTGTATTAACAACTTTATAGGAATGGCGAAAGCTGTAGCAGATACAAACTCCGGTAGTAACCAGGGTGGCTTCACAACTGATGGTAGCAATGTCACTGGATTCTCTAGTATGCATGATTCTGGAACCGGAGGTTCTCCATCTTTGGGGAACTTTGCATTATTTCCTTATGCCGGATGCAAGGGAGATACTGTAGACGGATGTACTTATCCAAAGAAATCAAGAGCCACCTCTTTCGTTGCAGATTCAGTCAAGGCATCTCCAGGATATTTTGGACTTACATTATCTAGTGGCGTTGCTGTGGATATGACGACAACACAACATACATCATTGTTCAGATTCAAATTCCCAGCCACTTCGAATGGAAATGCTTCCAGCCCATTAATCTTGATGGATTTAACGGACTTGTCTGACTCTCGCCAGGACAATGCCAGCGTCTCTGTTGATGCTACTACTGGAAGAATGACCGGGAATGGCAAATTCTTGCCTAGTTTTGGCAGTGGAAATTACGTTCTGTATTTCTGTGCAGATTTTTCGGGTGCTTCCATTCGAGACAATGGTATTTTTGTCAACAGCCGTGCTAGTGCTGATGTCAAGGATCTCAAAATTTCACGTTCAATCAACGGCTATCCTCTTCCGGGAGGAGCATTTATTCGTTTTGAGTCACCCGGCGATGGAATTCTGGCACGTGTTGGTGTCAGCTATATTAGCAGCGATCAAGCATGTGCAAATGCTGAAGCAGAAATTCCCGATTTCAACTTCGCTGCTGTACAGAATGCCGCAGAGACTACCTGGCGCAACAAAATCTCACCTATCAAAGTTTCGACGACAGGAATTGACTCTTCGATTTTGACAAACTTTTATAGTGGAATATATAGGACTATGGTCAATCCACAAGACTATACCGGTGAAAATCCGTTGTGGCAAAGTGATGAACCATACTTTGACTCCTTCTACTGGTAGGTCTTGATCACCAGCCTTGAAAACATCGCTCACTCCGGTTTAGCATTTGGGACTTGTTCCGTTCCCAGACACCATTTTTGACAGTGTTGGATCCCTCTACTGTGGCTAGAATGGTTCGTTCACTCATCGATACATGTTGGTGTCCCCTCACATCTATTTAACACGTGACACACTAATATCAATATCAGATGTTCACGAAGGATGGC